AACATCTACAAGTTTGGACTTCCACTTCTTTTGCCTGCGTCAAGAAAACGTGACCCCAGTGCCTATAGTGGCTTATTGGAACTTAATTGGATGTTTGGTTTGACAAACAATTGCCACTACACCTTCTTTATTTATTTTAACAATGCATTATATCCTACTACTCCTACTCTCTTCCCAATGCACAAAGCTTAACCAAGTCATATTCTCCCTTTTGATCAAATCACCAAATCCTCATTTATCACAAGTTTCTTCTCACCACAAGAGTTTCTTATTCTCCGCTTCTGCAGCTCAGACTGGCAGTATCAGGAACTGTGTGTCTAATTATTTTCAAGGCTGAATAATTTCCCTCAAACTTTTGTCAGATTATTGCAGTCTTACGAGCTTGAGCAATAACTCTCAACAATGGTACTTATGAAACTTATATGATACTTTGCATAACAGTTATAACTACATATTTTTGATTCAACCTTATAAGCTAAGACATTTGTTCGCACATCATAAGTTAATCCATTAATTTTTCTCAAGTGCAGGTTATGCAAAGAGGCCCCAGAAACCATCCAGAATATCACAGCCAGCTGTTAAGATACTGGCAGGAAAGGAATACATGAAACCTCATAACCAAGTGGCTGATGTGGTGTACAGAAGCATCTGTGCAGAATGCTAGCTGCCAGCCAATGGGGATAAATGTAATGTTTAATGTGACCATCCCAAATGATGGAAACATCAGGAAATAAGAACATTAGCAACTGGAACAATACCAAGGTCCCATGGAAGAACTAGAAAGAACCTGGTAGGTAAATGCAATGGCAGTACCCTTGGTCACTGGAGCACTGGGGGCAGAAACCACACTGGAACAGTGGAGTACAAGGGGTGGGTGACAGAACAGTTTCAGTTTCTATCTATGTAAATATGAATGTTTTTATATGCAACATAGCCCCTAATCTTCAAATATCCTGTTAAAATCACAGTTCTCAAGTTTAATCAGATGGTTTAGATGTCTCCTCTTCCAATAGATTGATTGATGGCTGCTTTGATTAAACATGGTTTCCATCTGTAGAAGCTATGCTGTTAATTTGATCATCTCAATTCTACCAACAGTGGTTCCTTCTACTGTGAAGATCCATCCTACTGTCGTTGAAAAATAAAAAATCTTCTTATATTAAAATGTTTTTAGATTTGTTTTGGTGACAAACTGCTCTATGTTTCATATATATTTGGAAAAAGACTTGTCTTGCTGCAAAGTAGGTTCTCCAAAAGCATTTATTGAGAATTGTGAATTGAGAGAACAGAAAGCAGAAGTTTTTGAGATCTGATTGTAAAGGTAAAGGGATTAAAAACTAAAGTGCTTTCGGGTGCTCAGAAGGTAGCGGTTTTGGACAGGAAGAGCTGAAAGGTGACATTTCTCTCATGCACGGAGGTGCTGTTATTTCCTGCTCTACATTCTATACTCTGAGAGTAAAAGGCATACATTTAATGAGTTTATGATGTCTCTGTTACTTATACTGGCTCTGCTGATCCTCATTACGATACCAGGTAGGAGATCATATACAATTTAATTAACGTTATTCACAACTTTCAGTAAAAAAAAATAAATTGTAGTATTATATGACAAGCTGAGCTCAAGTAAAGATAAAACAAAGTGAAAAATGCTTTATGATATTTTGGGTTATTAAAGTATTCAGCCTAAAGATTTTGCTGTTTACAAAAATATATCTTTGGGTGTGGAAAACACAATTTTTAGCAACTTTAGATAAGTTAAAAAAAAATATAAAGCGAATTGTAAACCTGGTATGATTTTTACAAGGATGTTTATTAGGATTTCTGATATCAGAAAGCATAAAACAGACACTCCTAACTGTGTTACTGTCCATCTACATTTTACAGGAATCGATGTTTTCACTTCTGTTACGGTGCAGACGGGTGGGGATGTTTTTCTCAACATCTCAGAAGCGGATGTTCCCAAAGACTTTCACCTTCTTATTTGGAAATTCTTCACAGATGATGTGTTGGTGTCTTTCTGGCCAAGCGGAAAACCAAATGTCCGCATTGCTTATGCTGGAAGGATTGACATTTTAGAAAGAAAATACTCTATAAAACTAAAGAATCTCCAAAAATCTGACGTTGGACTTTACATGGCGATGGTAACGGCAAAGTCAGAACAAATAATAAGTAAATATAATGTCACAGTTCAAGGTAGGATTATTTATATTTAGAATTAACTAAATGTTCCCACATTTTAATGAAAATGTTAATATGTGATGTTGCACGTGTTACGAGAGTTTTTAATCCTTTTCATCTTCCTTAGTGGCAAAACAGTTGGGTGAGCCTCTCTTTTTGCCACCCGAAAATATAAGATAGCACCTTCAAAAGCTAATAAAACAGTTTCTGTAATCAGCAGCAAGCAGGAATAGAAACTCTCCTCTGACTGTATGATTAGGAAAAGCAATAGCAAAGTATGGTGGGAAAAAAATCTACTGTAAATCCTATTAATCTCCTTTTAGATATATTAACTATGAGTGTCGAGTTTCATTCACTCAGGCCTCAGAGCTGCAAGTGTCTGAGTAAGAGGAGTGTTTGGGATAAAAATAATAGTTCTTATAACAAGCTAGTCTTTTTTTCAGGGATTTTTTTTTCAAAAGGTATTATTTGCAAACTGTATGTCTCTATTTGGGTAAAGATATGTGGAGACCTTCACAGCCTTCCTTCAGGGCTTTAATGAGGGAGAAACAAACACTGTCTAGTTCAGAACAGAGCAGAAACATCATACTGTGAGGGCTGTTTATGATTTTGTTCTCTTAATCTACTTTGCAAAGTAAAATTAAGTGCTGACTGACTGAAATCCATTAATCTCCATTTATTTACCTGGATTGTATAGTTGAATATTTTTTTCAAATTACAATTTGGCGTTGTCGGCAGGATCTCCTCGACTGATTTTTCTGGAAGCAGTTAGATTAGATTAGATGAGCTTTATTGATCTCACAGCGGAGAAATTTCACTGGTCACATATTGGCATAGTAATTAAAGAAGGTGCAAACAAGGAGGAGAAGGTGCATTAAGAATAAACAAGCAAGCACTGTATATACAGTATATCAAGATAAGAATAAGAATTAAGGTGCAAGTGTACATGTATCACACACAATGAAAAATAAAAAATAAATAAAAAATACAAGGGAGTAACACAGAGATTTGAGGTGTCATATGTACAATCAGGATGGCTTATATACAGCTGGATTGACTTTTACATTAAAGTGTAGTAGGTAAGGAACAACGGTGAGGTAGTGGTTATGTAGTTATGACAGAAGTGTCGAATCAACCTGGGATTAATTCACGGACACCACCCAAATAGATGGGGGAGGGGGAACTTCTGACTTAATGTTTCCAGGTTTCAGCAGGAGATTACGTACTGATGTTTTTGAGACGGTGGGAAATGTTCACTCAGCATGGCTCAAATATTTTTAGATTTAACATTAAGATAGAGGTAACAGTTTCTACTGGGGACAATGGTAGATTTGGGTTTTTCCACTTGAGAACAAAAGGTCTCAAGTGGAAGAAAAAAAAAAAGTTATTCCAACCACAACAAGGTGATGACTAGTATTTCCTCTCTACATCTTTGCAGAATCGGCCCAAAGCAAACCCACTGCTATTAGGGCCAGCCTTGCTCTTTGCCGCCCCATTTCAAAGCTTCCCTGGGTGGCTGCCTTACTGTCCAGCCGCAGGCTCTTTTGCGTTTTCTGTGTATCATTTTAATGCTTCAAATTGGTTCTCCCCCTCACTCCCTCTCCGTAGATCCAGTGTTTCCAGTGGATCTGGTCATTGACTCCGTGTCCAGCGCCTCTTCCTTATGTAACCTAACAGTGACGTGCACCACCAAGGACTCCAGCATCAGCACCACTGTTAGATGTACCAACAGCACTTGCCTTCAAGAGGGAGGAGATAAATCAAAGGTCACCCATTCTGGCGCTTCTCTCCACATCTACCTGTCAAATGTGTCAGTCATTTGTAACCATAGCAACCAGGTCAGCTGGTCGGAGAAAAACACAACAACTGATCAGCTTTGTCTGCAATGTGATGGTAAGTCTATTTACAACAAGTTTACAAATGCAGAGCCCTGCCCAAGTAATCTTACCTCTTAAGCCTTTTTTTTTATTTTATCAAGTTGCAACC